GATGATATCAGCATAGCTTCGGACGGCCAACTCTGGCCGATAGCTACGAATATTTGAAGCATAACTCCGCTGCAATTGGCTTAGAGTTAAACATTAAAAAATGCGAACTTCACTGCCAAAGTTTATTTCAGGTGCCACATGCGCTGGCTGAAATACCCAGAGTTGGTGCATCAGAACTGAGTTTTTTAGGCACACCCTTGGTCGAGGGCGATTATCAAATAAAGTTTTTTGACCAAAAGCTCTCTGAGCTTGAATTCGCCCTGGGTCGTGTTTCCTGTCTTTCGGCCCATGATGCCTTGACTATTATCCGCAATGCCCTCAGTTTGCCCAAATTGATGTACTTCCTGCGTACATCTAAACACATTGACCCTTCTAAATTGGGCGAATTTGACGGAGCCCTGCGCACCGCCCTGTCGTCGATTTGCAATGTTTAAGTGACCGACAGTGGTTGGTCCCAGGCTCAGCTGCCGGTGCGATTTGGTGGGCTGGGGTTGCTTAGCGTGGTTCAGCTGGCTCCCGTTGTTTATAATTCTTCTGCCGCTGCCACTCTCGACCTACAGTCTTCCCTGCTCCACCGGTTTTTTCGTTGCCGCGATATTCTTCCCCCAGCGTTCGCCCCGGGGGACCGTACGCACGTCCAAATTTTGAACGAAGAATATAAAAAAATCTTTCAAAATTTGTTGTCTTCATGCGGCGACGACTTTTCCACCGCTCGTTTGTTGGCCATGTCCAGCGTTGCCAGCTGTGGGTGGTTGAGATCGTGGCCTAACACCTCTGTGGGCACCAGGCTTGACGACGAGTCTGTAAGATTTGCCATTGGCTTCAGACTTGGCCTGGTCATTCAGAATAAATACACGTGCCGATGTGGCGCTGAGGCGGACGAGTTTGGGCACCACGGTTTGGTTTGTCGCCTGGGTGGGGGCCGTCAACTACGTCACTCAGCGCTAAACGATTACATTTGTCGGCTCTTCTCCAAGGCTTCAATCCCGGTTCTCAAGGAACCATCCGGCATTTCTGCGCATGATGGTAGGCGACCGGACGGATGCACGCTAATACCTTGGAGAGCCGGCAGATGTTTGGCGTGGGATGTTACGGTCCCTGGCACCCTCGCCGAACGATACGTAAACCTGACAAGTAAAGAATGCGGTTTGGCCGCGGCCAGGGCAGCGGACGAGAAAATGAAAAAATATGGGAATGCCCTCCCCTCGATGGAATTCTTGCCAATATGCATCGAGGTTCTCGGCCCGATGGACCCCAACACCCTTAAATTTCTTAAGGAAATAGGCAAAATGATCAGTGTCAGATCAGGTGACAGCAGGGAACTGTTTTTTGCAACCAACCACATTTCGTGCTTGTTTCAGCGGTTCCTGCGTGTCTGTGTGCTTGAAAATATCCAACTGAATGCCGACATGTGCAATTAACGACAAATCAAAGTGTTAATCCATTTGTTACTTGATGTTTGACGGTTCAGTGTCACTCATCATGTTTTGGTTTTAACATACATACATACATACATACATACATACAATAACATACATACATACATACATCATCATTAGTAGCACGTGCCGGCCGCATTTTGATTTGCTCCGTATTTTTTCTTAATTTCATAGTTTAAAATTGAGTATTTAGTTTAAATATAATTTCATTTGATAGAGAAAATTTTGACAAATTTAACGATATAATTTGTTTGACTTGTGAATTGAACTAAGAAATTTACTATTGTAAACGTTATTTAAGATGGCTAAAAATGTCACTTGTTCGGAAAACTCGTTCAGATTGAAGCTCGCCAATTTCATTGATGATATGTACGAAGTTACCAGGACTTGCATCAATATTAGATACTATTGCGATACGTGTGTAAAATCCTCCATGAAACAAGCTATGAAAAGAATTGAAAAAATGGAAGAAAACAACGATGAAATTATTAAAAAAATTGTAAAAATAGAGGAAAATAACGATGAAATTATTAAAAAATTGAGGATCTGCATAAGAGCACCACTGCCGGCATCGACACCATTAAGTTGATTATAGCTGAAAATGAATCAAAACAGACCTTGTTGGATAATTCAGAGAAAAAACTTTGCACTGAAATTAACAACCTCAAGAGCGAATTGAATAAAACATTTGCAAGTGTTGTTGGTTCGGAGGTCAAAAAAAGTGTTGATAGCATCAACTTGGAGGTAAAGAATGTCAGCAAAACTATAAACAGTGTTGTTGAATCAAAGGAGAGAGAAACGAACATGATTGTTTTTCGATTGAAAGAGGGGGATGCTGATAAGACAAGTATAGAAAAAATAGTGAAACACTTGACAAATGGGACATGTGACCAGAAAAACATCGTCAAAATCTATGGACTTGGCAAAAAAAGTGACATCATTACTCTTTCGATTTTGATCAAATTTGACGATGTAAAAAACAAGGAATTGGTCATAAGAAACAGTCACAGATTAAAATCCATTGGTGACGATTTGACGGGTATTGGTCTGAGCCACGATCTTACAAGTGAACAAAGAACTGAACTAAAACAGCTTGTCAGTAGTTCGAAGAAACAGGAATCTGAGGATAAAGAGGGTTTTTTATACCGGGTGAGGGGGGACGTCGGGAAATGGAAAGTGGTACGTTTACCTGCAAGAAAACAATAAGTTTGATTAATGGACGTGTTGGCACTTGGTATTGCTTGGAACAGTTGGTAAAGGTACAATATGTTAATTTTTGCAGATTCGGACCTGGAAACAAGAAATATAATACTAATGAGAAAATGGTTAGGATTGGTCTGTTGAATGTCAGGTCTATCAACAATAAGGTTGATGATGTCTATGGAATGATTTATGATGGCCTCGACATACTGGTTTTGTGTGAAACATGGCACGGGACCGAAGGTAGTATTTCCGTTAGATTAGCTATGCCACCTGGTTTCACATTTGTGAATTTTGTCAGGCCGCATGACCCTGGTCACGGGGGTTTGGTAATTTATTTTAGAAGTGATTTTAAGTATAAAAAAATAAATCTCCCTTTATTTTCCAAGTTTGAAGCTCTGGCCATCAGATTGAAGATTGGAATTGATCAGTTCTGTTTAATTGCCCTCTACAGACCTGGCTCGGAACAGACGACTTCATTATTCTTTGAAGAGTTGATTTCTATGTTGGAGTTTATTACAATGTCGGAGGCTCATGTCGTACTTATGGGTGATTTTAACATTCACGTTGAAAAGATGGATAGTCCTTTCACTCTACGACTACATGAGATACTTGATATGTTCCAGTTGGTCAATCATGTTAATCAACAAACGCATGTGTCGGGAGGTACGTTAGACCTAGTAATTTGTTCACAGGATTTTCCAATTCTTGATACTAAGATTGACCCGTGTTCGGTATACTCTGACCACAGTTACGTAGGTGTGAGAGTGGCGTTGAATCAAGTTCGACCAAAATTGGTGAAAGCATGTGTCAGACCGTGGAAAGATCTGAACGAAAAATGTTTTGTTGAAGCACTAGCGAACTCTCCTGTGGCAAACAAATGTCAATCTGATGATGTGGATTATGAATTTGCTCTGTTTAGTGGTGAAATTCAACAAATTTCTGACAATTTAGTGCCTATGCGGGTGATTTATCGTAGGCAGACAAATGCTGCACTTTGGTTTGATGGTGAGTGTAGACGTGCAAAGCGATTCTGTAGGAAGATGGAAAGAATTTATAGGAACCTTCCGGAAAGTAGGCGGAAAAAAGATGGGCACTCTCATTGATGGCTAAAAACAGACTCTTTTCTAACAAGCGTACGCATTATTGGAACGATGTCGTAAATAGTAACGGAAATCAAAGAAATCTTTGGGATGTTGCCAATTAAATGTTAGGTAAAAGTTCGGCAAATGATTCATTTAATGATGACAACGCTCCAAACGCTGATCAGATTTTACAATTTTTTGAAGATAAAATTGCTAAAATAAAAGAAACAACAAATGCACATTCTGAATTTCCGCTTCAAGTAGTCTCGATGTTGAATAAATGCACGTTTTCATGCTTTCCGTTGGTTACTGAAACTCAGTTGAGGGAAACGGTACTTAAATCACTAACGAAATCGTGTAGTTTGGACATAATCCCTACGCATATCTTTAAAAAATACTTGGACTCATTTGTCTGCTTTCTGACGAGATTTTTAAACCTCTGTTTACGCGTTGGTAAATTTCCTTCTAGCTGTAAACACGCGATAATTCAACCGATTTTGAAAAAAGCTAACTCAGATGCAAATGAGGTGAGTAATTACAGACCAATATCAAACCTTTCAATTGTTTCAAAGGTTTTGGAGCGTGTTGTTCTTGATTTCCTGATGAATTATCTAACGACGAACAATTTAATGCCACTCAACCAATCGGCCTACAGGTGCTACCACTCAACAGAAACTGCATTGCTTCATGTCTTGTCAAACATGTTTGCAGGCATGGATGATCGGAAGATATCATTACTCTCCTTTCTCGACATGTCGTCCGCTTTTGACTGTGTTAATCACAAGAAGCTTCTGGTAAAATTGCAGAATAATTTTGGAATTTCAGGAACGGTACTCGCCTCGTTTGAATCATATCTAACGGGTAGAACTCAGCAGGTTTTGTTTAGAAAAGTCTTATCATCTGTCAAGAGGGTAACAACGGGTGTTCCTCAGGAATCAGTGCTAGGACCAGTTTTGTTTCTACTCTTTACATCGGATATAATTAAAATAATAATGTCACATGGACTTGTTGGTCATGCGTATGCAGATGACATACAGATAGTTGCTACAGGTCATCCAGAGACATTTCAGCCCGAGATTGATAAACTTGTTGGTTGTTTGATAGAGATTGAACGTTGGATGTTGAGCAATTCCTTGAGGTTGAACCGGGGTAAAACTCAGATGCTTCCTGTCGGTACATGGCAGCAGTTGTCAAGATTTAATATAAACTCGGTTGAAGTTGGTGACGTTGAAATATCATTTGCTTCTACAGCCTTGAATTTGGGGGTATGGTTGGATAGCAGGCTCTCAATGAAAAATCAAATAAAATCGCTATCAATTGCAAATATGATGCATTTCAGAAAATTGTACAAAATTCGACACTATTTGAACAGATCTAGCATGGAAACACTGGTACATGCTTTTATTACATCCAGATTAGATTATTGTAACAGTTTATATTTTAAAATACCTGACAAGTCAATAGCTGTACTTCAGTCTATTCAAAATCGAACTGCAAAACTTGTCACAAAAAATCTGAAGTGACTCCAATCTTGAATGACCTACACTGGCTAAAAATTGAAAAAAGAATAATTTTCAAAATTGCTGTCTTAACGTTTCGGTCATTACATGGTTTAGCACCACAGTATTTGGCAGACATGTTCATCAGAAAACATCTGTGTTGGGTTCGCAGTTGAGATCAAATGACATGAACCTCCTGGTTGTGCCGACAACGAATTTACAGACCGGATCACGCAATATTGCTGTTGCTGGACCGGTGGTTTGGAACAGTCTACCGGCGTTTCTAAGAAGACCAGATATATCATTGTTTTTATTTAAAAAGGAGCTGAAGACTCATTTATTTTCGCAGATTTAACAATGTCTTTGTCTTCGTTTGATTAATATTTGGTTTTTTCATTTATTTTAGGGAGCGCTTTTGAGATCTTTTTTTTGTAATAAGCGCTGTACAAATTGACTTGTAATAATAATACATACATACATACATACATACATACATACATACATACATACATACATACCCTGGGTTCCCTTCTTTTTGCACTTTCTGTTGACCCACTTATTAAATCACTAAAATCCAAATTCGTTGTTGCCTACCTAGACGACATTTCATTGGGAGGTGATGTCGAGTCCGTTTTGAACGACCTTAATACTATTATGAATTCAGAAATTAACATAGGCTTAAAACTTAATTTTGAAAAATGCAAGTTGTATATGAACAAACCTATTACACTTAACTTTAAATATCCAATTAAAATTTTTGAAAAAAACATGGTTGATTTTCTAGGCTCAATAATTTTTCCTGGTGAAAGCCAAAACATATCCATAGCTAAAAAATTGAAAAGTTTTAAACTTATCACTCTAAAGCTAAATATCACCAATAAACATGATGCAATGGTACTTCTATTACAAGCTGCATTTTTGCCTCGTCTTGTTTATTTTTTGAGAACATCCCCTCTATTGGATGTTTCGATCCTCAATAGTTTTGACGATCATCTTTGTGACGCATTCCAGTCCATCTTCAACATAACACTCGATCAAAAAAATTGGTTGCAGGGGACGCTGCCTATATGTGTTGGTGGCCTGGGTTTGGGTTCCGCGGCTGAGCTGGCAACTTCTGCCTTTTTGGCTTCTGCTGCTGCCACGGTGGCCCTCCGGGATCTGATGTTGCCGAGGGATGGGATTTATGTTGATAACTTCAGAATGCAAGTATACGATATGTGGCGCGCCACCAACGGAGATGTGGTTGCGTTCGAGAAACCCTCGCAAAAACACTGGATTGCTCCCTGTCTTAATAGATCAAATGATCGATTGCTACAACTGAATGGCTCCACTTTCGACAAGGCTAGAATTATGGCTGTCAAAAGCGAGTTGGGCTCCGCCTGCTTGAGGGCGCTACCCAACACCTCCTGCGGCACTAGATTGGATGACTCTTGTGTCCGCGTGAGCCTGGGTTTGAGACTCTGAGCCCAGATCGTCACCGAATATGAGTGTGCATGTGGGGCAAGGGTTTATGAACTTGGATACCATAGCCTTTCTTGTCGTCTAGGTCCTGAAAGACAAGCCAGACATACGGCTGTCAACGAATATCTAGTACGATGTTTTCAAAAGGCTGGTATCCCGGTTATAAAAGAACCCATGGGTTTGATAGAGGAAGGAGCTTTTAGGCCTGATGGTTACACTATCACCCCATGGGCTCAGGGAAGATTCCTGGCTTGGGACGTTGCCTTTCCCCACACCATGGCTGACCGTTATATTGGCTACACTTCAGTGGAGGCGGGCACTGCTGTCCTTAAAGCGTCCGATTTTAAAAATGAAAAATACGTTTCATTAAACAATTTAAGCAAAACATTTCAAACCATTTGCATCGAAACGTTCGGACCAACAGATAAGCGCACATCATTTTTTATTAAAGAATTAATAAGAAAAATAGTTAATATAACGGGTGACCCTAATGAAGATAATTATTTAAAACAAACACTTTCACTTCTATTACAAAAATTCAATTCCTTTTGCATTCTGGATGGAGCTGCTAGATGCCTGACTGCGAGACCAGGGACATAGATAAAAGTTGAACTCGGAACGTTGCATGACTAACCATGGCTTGTTCATCAAAACGGGTTCATACATACATACATACATAAATACATACATACAAACATACCTTCAAACGTACATACAAACAAATATACATACATACAAACACACATACATAAATACATACAAACAAACAAATATGCATACTTATATACATATATACATGCATACATACAAACAAACAAACCAACAAACAAGCATACATTAGTATCATTTGTTCATGTTTCTGAGAGTGATTAATTAATTAGTCCCGATCCAAACACGTGCTCTCTCGCCACTATTGAAACTACGCAAACGTGCACGCTGCTTAAACAAAAAAAAATTAATTCGAATTATTTATTAAAAAATTGAAAATCAACTTTTAAGAAGATATCTTAATTATCCGTAGACCGCAATTAGTGCTAAAAATGTTTATAACTCTCAAAACGTGATTTCAAATATTATCATGTCAGATTCTGATAAGATGGTGTTGTAAATAGTTTTGAAATAATCAATCAGTCAATCAATCAATCAGTCAGTCAGTCAGTCAATCAATCAATCAATATAAAATTTGTATAACCAAATTTATAAAAATTTTAAAATAAGCGAATGTTTCAAACTTTACAACTATCTTTCATTTGTTTTACCTTGTATTAAATTTTTAGTTTATGCATATTTTTGGTTAAGGTTACTGCTGTCTTCTTGAAATATTTCATAAAATTGAATATTGAATATTGAATAATAAACAATGTAAAAGGAGTGTTGTACTACTGCAAGAAACATGTCTGTCACGTTCCAATTATAAAGCACAGTTTAATTTGTTTATTTCAGACATGTCTTATTTTTGCAATATTATTTGTTCGTGAAATGTTAAATTGGTACTTTCTATTATTAATAATTTATTTTGTTGGTTTTTCATGAAATTGAAGTATTTATATACTAAATAAATAAGTCGAAAATACGGTACATTAGAGGTTGATGGTTAAAATAATAATATTAGTTGTGACGTTGCTGTAAAATTCCTGAAAAGAATTGTGAAAAATCTACAGCAATAAATAAGTTTCTATTTTAAAATAAGGATCAGTTTGTCGAATAGTTTGTCACAATTTTATGAAACAGTCATCAATAATAATCTCTCATTCGTTAAGGCTGACCCTGTGGCTGATCACTGTCGTCTGCGCCGCTGAACTAATTGACCAATTAGTGGGCAAACATAACTATAAACAAAATACCAGAGCTGATAGCAGCGAGATCACCAACATTAAGTGACACAAACATTCAACCAATCATCATCATTTCGTGACACAAACGTTCAACCAATCATCATCATCTCGTGACACAATCATCATCATCTCGTGACACAAACGTTCAACCAATCAACAACAACTATCAATCGCAATGGCGATGAGCAAACGACTCGACGTCAGCAACTCGCTCCCAGACGATGGTGACGTTATGATGAAGAGCACTCCATGTGCAGCGCCATCTCACGAGCCGTGCAATCCCTCCAGAAAGTTGTACCCCAAGGAGCACTCGAACTGGAAAGTAAGTTGCACGACGTTCTTACTTCGTTGTTCACTCATGAGTTTGTTGGATTACAACCTTCCAAAAAAGCCGAGTTTTTTGGAGCATTAGTATAAGCAACTCTGATTCAAACTAACTTGTAGATAGAGTTAGGTTAGGTTGTAAATACCTTTTGAACTTAAGTTTGCGTGAATGAATTACAAATGATAATACTAATTTGGATCATTGGCACTGATTTGCGTTCATTACGCTCATTGATTCCACGTTGGTTAAAATATCATTTAACTACCAAAACATAGCGAGCACGTTTGTCATTGAGATGGGACGGTGGCATTTATCTCTTCTTTCAATTCCTTTCAATGTGGCATCTTCTTCCAACAAACACCGTTGGCCACTTGTACAAAAAATATGTGAATAATTTGTAATTATCTTAAAAATATTTGCCTACACTTGAACTGTTGAATAATTGCCAGTCCAAACAATTTGAAACTTTGTTTTAATCATCCAAATAATTATTTATTGTTTCAAAATCACAAGTTAAACTTGATTTATGAAAAATTAACCAACGTTTTATGGATATAGTCATGTGAAAAATTTGCATATGACAATTCTTTTCTTTCCAGCTAGTTTGACATGGAGAAACAACACATAGCCATAATTTTTCATACCTTTGTGAGCAATTGTAATGGTGCATTTTATGGTTTTTCGCGTCAATCGATAGCGCTGCATTTATCGATTGATACTCGTGTTGTTAGCAACGTTTGTGGATCGTTTGCGGCTGAGGTTGATTGCGTTGTCTCATTTGGAGGAACTGCTCAGCAGCAAATGGTCGGTTTAATGGTCAAAACTGGATCGTCGAGGGCTGAAGTCGGCTCACGTTCATCAAATGATTCTAAAATGTCAGCGAACAAAATTAAATGAATAAATTTTTAATATGTTATTATTAATCGATCAATCAATCAACTTTTTAAATTTATGCAACTATTTAATCATTTTATTATTCAATCCATCCAATCAATCTATTTAATCAATCAATCTATTTAATCAATTAATCCATTCAATCAATTAATCCATTTAATCAATCCACACATTTGATCAATCAATCTCATCCACACTTCAGTTGATAAAGAAGCACTTCCTGGCAGTCCGCTTCCTTGCGAACATAGCTCCGAAACGGGATAAGTACCATTTAGATTTCCACCGCTACGCTCATACAAGCATTCCAAACAGCAGCAGCATTAACATCAGCCGAAAGAACATGACATCACGTGATGTCTGCTTGACCGGAAGTACGCCATGTTTGCAGACGATAAAGAAGACGGAAGATTGATAGTCATCGTTGTTTGCGTAAAAGTTTCTGACGATGACGATGATGACGAAAATGATGATGGTGGTGGTGATGATGTTTTTGGGGGTTTTTGTCATCATAATGAAGATGACGATGATGATGAAGGTAGTGGTCATAATGCACACGAGGACGATAATGATGATGTTGATGAATGATGATGTTGCTTAATCGTCTGTACATAATTTTTGTGTGGCACATTTTTCTACATATTTGTGTACATATTTTTATCTGACATTCACTTCACTCTAATCAAATAGCTACACAGTTGTTAATAAATTACATTTTTAAACGTTTCAAAACTTGTTTTTGGCATTCAAAAGAATAATCATGGAATCATTTTAAAAAATCACCATCAGTTACTTACAGCAAAAAAAATCTGCAAACATGCGAACAACAACACAACAACAACAACTCCAAAAAATAGACAGCCTCTCAAACTAGAGACCGTGCAAACAATACATTAGCAGCAGACCACTTCAATTACATTCATTCACATTCACCTGTTCATAGAGAAATTCTTTTGCTTCGATTTTTCAGCAATTAAAAATCTAAATTTAAACGCAACTAGTTTATAAAGAAGTATAAAAAGAATGTTTATATTTAACTCGGCATTATTTTTCTGAAAAGAAGTTATTATTTTCTTATCTTTCAGAACGGACTATTTTTATTTTCTTTTCATAAATCACTTTCTTTACTATTAAAATCAATTTTCGTAGCATTTCAGAAACTCAAGACTTACACTACTGCTTTAAAGTAGTTGCGTGTTTATATTTCTTAATCAAAAAAAACACAATGAATGTCAACCGGCAGATAGATGGCAATCTTTAATTACACATTCTTCAACATTGTGTTGATATGTTTGTTGCACGAACCTTCAAACATTTCATTCATACGTCGAGTTAAATTGCGACCGTCTTGCTCACATTTGATTGCAGCTGGTGAGGATGCGTTGTATCTAGCTCGTGCTGTAAAATTGAATGATGAGAACGTTTATCGTATGTATACAGAAGTTTAAATTGAATTGAATGGTATGGTGCGGTGCGGTACGGTATAGTTATCATCATTTAACATAGTATGGTACATTTGTTAACGTTTTCAAATATGTTGTTTATTTCATTAGCCGTGAATGAGTCACTTGAAAAAAAATGAATATTTTCAAATTCATTTACGTAGCGACTTAAATATTTAATAATGAACAAACAAAACTAGCTGATCAAAAATATAATCAAAATGTAATTTGATTTAAAAATGTTGGAGACTGAATTTAAAAATAAACCAAAACGTAATTTTTTGAAAATTATTCACTGAATTTGTGACATAGCCATTTTCATTGTTGTCTAATTGGATAACGATTTTTAATAGAAAAAACAACGTGCATAGCTTGCTGTTCCAACTAAATTTTAATAATGTGACTTTTTAGAATATCATTTCAAAAAAGTTTAAAGTTGTAAAACTGCTGTCATGTTGTTCTCAATCAATTGACGCATGATTAGTTAATGGACTGGTTGGAACCATCTGGTTGGTTGGCTGGCTGGCTGGCGTAATTGACTAAATCATATAAAAAATTATATGTATCGTTGGTAACATTGTTTTGTTAGTTTTGTTATTATTTTTTGTTATTATTAATATTTTTATAATTTTAATTAAAAAGACTGCGAAATAATTTTGCTAGATTCACAACAAACGACGCAACCAACCAATGTATCGTCAGACATTTCTAGTTGGCTGCACTTGAAAGCGCGACTGATAACACCTTAGTAATTGCGGCTCTGCTTGCATCTGGTCAATTTGTTCAATTTTATAATAAGAATATCGGTTCGTGAAAAACACGTTAAGTTTATTTTGTAGAATGACAACACTCGTTCATGTGTTTGTCGTGTGATCAGAATCTGTTTAAAAACGCAGTATTGAGATCAGTGAAGGTGTTTCACTTTGTCAGCTACGTTCTCGAGGTCTTGCTCTTTTAGAATAACTTCTTTCTAACTACAGTGCACAGCTTGGTTAGACAGCAATTTCAATATTAAAAAATGTGAAATAATAAAACAAATGTTGAGTAGAGTAGACAAATAAATTAACAAGAGGCATTGGGCAATCGATATCTTAAAAATTAATACTGCACACCATTTGTCAGAATAAACAGCTAAATTTTGAGAAAATTAAGCTTTCAGTTGTTGGTCATAGAGCAGATATGATAGGATTGCAAATAAATATCATAGAGTAATGAGTTTGAACAGACTGAGAGTAAAAAAACTCAAAAATTATTCTTTTTTTTTAAGCTTCAATATAATTTTGAAATAATGTTGAATTAAAAAACTTTGAATACGAGTTAAGTCAGGCACCTGAATTAAATTTTTAATTTTTTTTAATACTCACAATTTCAGTTGCAACGAATTTTTTTAATGTAAAATAATGTGTTGCAAACTAGCAATAATTTTATTGTGCTGTTAAAATAAACTGAAAATACATTGCATAGATAGTCGTCGTTATTGTATATTACAAACACTCAAGCAAAAATAATTTCTATTAATAACTGTTGAATTCAATGTTGAGAAAAAATATTATGATGCATGTTGAATGAAGATGTCAAGAATTATGAAGGAAACGTATTTCTCTCAAAAAGTGATATAGTATATCGGCTTAATCTGAAATAAAAAATTTATTTATCAATGTAATAATACTTAATTATAATAATGTGTTTTGTATTTAATTGAACTAAATTATTTTCTATCTAATTGGGACTAATTGATTTTTAATCTTAGTGAAATAAATTGGTTTTTTATCGAATTGAGATAAAATGATTTTTACTCTTGCTGAACCAACAACAGCAGAAAGAGAGGGCAAACCTTTTCAAGTTTCCTCAACCTCTGCTCGTCGATGTCGGCGATGCTGATTTCGCCTGGCAGTGAAAAAAACGAAAACATTTCGACAATTATTTTAAACTAGAGTTGACCAACGCAACACCAACTGCAGTTTTCAATAAGATTCACAATCAGCACCATCTACCAAAGCTAACAAAACAAATTAAAGTTAGTGTAGAGTATCAGCGTTCACGTTTTAGAACCATAAAACCTCGTTCATCAGTATCCCACAACCACCTTCACACACGTCACAAAATTCGTGCACATCGCAACCACCTTTCAAAAAGTTATGAAAATCTTTCATTGTTTTGAAGTGGCCGGATGGAATTCTGTCTTCAGGGCGGGCATCTTCGTTGTAGTCACGTGCCAACTTGCGGACCAATCTCTGCTCGCTGAATCCCTTGCCGTTCATCTGCATGCGGTTGGCGTGGTTCAGTTTCATGGCTGCCAGGCGCTTGGTCTCGTAGGCTCTTACCTTTTGATCGAAAGCATTCAAAGTGGGTAATTTTTTAAACCATCCCTCTTATGAAACTTTTTGCAACGGTTGAATATTGATTTTAACGTGAAAATGTGTGATTATGTTAAAAAATGTATTAAAAATCGCCTGTAAACATCTTAATCTCTAAGAACAAATAATTAAGTACATAAATAATTATACTAAACAACTTTCACCTACGGAAATGAAAATGAAATTCAACTTAATAAATACAATGATTGAACCTACCTGTTCTCTGATGATGTTTGGGTGAACATTCAAGTTAACTAGTCTTCTCGGTTCCAAGGGCTGGTTGGGCGGTTGTGAGTTGTAGTTTCTGGCAGGCGATCTGTTGGCATCATTTTGTTTCTGCGGTGACTGCTGAGCGTTGTTTTTGTTATCTTTTTTGTTTTTCTGCTTCTTTTTATCATCGTCACTTCCGTTTCCAGAGTCCTCCTCATCTTCTTCATCGAAGCTCGAGTAAAGTTGGCTCTTATCGTCGTCCTCTATGGAACGGGCGGTATTCTTCTTTGGAGATTTTTTAACTTTTTCCTGCTTCTTAGGCGATGTTTTCTTCGGAGAATCTTCCTTGCCACTTTCGTCATCGCTATTTTTATTCTTCCTCTTTGTTTCTGGTGATCTTCCGGTAACGATTGTTTGAATTCCCTTGTCCATTGTGTTGTTCTTGTTATTTTTGTTATTACCACTGCTGTTGTTATTGTTGTTCTTTTTATCGTCCAAATTGTTTCGGCTGGTTTGACTTTCGCTGTTCGTCTTATGGACGACCGAGTTTTTGTTTTCAATTGTTTGCACACCCATCTCTTTTTTCTCAACTGGTTTTTTTGTCGCAGTTGCAACAGGAGCGGCTCTGTGCGGCGCTTTCTTTGGATCATTTTTATTTTTGTCGTCATCGTCGTCATCTTCATCTTTGCTTGATTTGGCGCCATTTTGTTTAAGGTACTTTGCACATTCCTGGTTCTGTTTCATCACTGCGCAATCGTATGGGTACAATGTCGTGTCCTGCGCCAACAAAGTTATATTATATTTTTGTCATTGAATATGAAACTGCAAAAATAATTTAGTAGCAATAATTTTCTACCCCGTGTTTCATGGGAGAATTTACGTTGGCTCCATTCTGCACTAAAAGTTTGCACAAGGGTAGATTGTTTGAGAGGGCGGCCATGTGCAGGCAGGTCTTGTCGTGGTTATTTCCTTTGTTGATCTGTTCTTTCTGGTCTTCCTTGTCAACCCCCTCCATAAGAATTTGAACAATTTCTAAAAATTATTAAGATATTTTGTTTTCATTGAAAATTGTTGGACAAACCGGTTTCAGGAAATCATATTTTAAAAAATTCATCTTTTGACATGAATTTCCACAGTAATTTTATGGTTATATTTCATTCAAATACAGACAAATCAGCTCTTAATTATTTTTCGACTTTCACTAGACTGACATTCATGCGGGCATTTGATTAACTTGCCTGTGTGTCCTGCCATGGCGGCTTCGTGGATAGGCATATCGCCTGTCTCCTTGCTCTTCAGCCAGAGGTCAGCTTTGTGCTTCTTCAACAACTTCATCGCCTCCAAGTTTCCTATTGACGCAGCGCAATGGCCGACACTGTTTGTGATGTGGAAATGTGATGATGTGATTTCGTAATGTAATCGGATGTTATATGATGTGACGTGGCGAGGTGCGATGAGAAATCACGTGTTAATGTGATGTGATCAATTCATTTATTAATCTATTGACCTGCTTATTTAGCTATCAATTCATCTATTCATCGATGCATTCATTGAACTAGCCTCCTTCCTTTCCTATCACAGTGACTTGTGTTGGCCTTATTCTCCAACAGTAACCTGGCACAATCCATTTCATTTTGATGGACAGCATAGAACAGAGGTGTGCATCCTATGATATCAAATGGTCCAATAAAATCTTCAATAATATGCATTTTTAACAATTTGCTTATCATAACTTGGGCTTGCAATCGTTCAATTTTAATTGGTGACTTGTCATATATTTTGTTATAGTGTTAAGTGATGAGGTGGCTAAAGGTAAAAGACGTCTAAACCTGCGTTGCAGTAACAAGATTCGAATGCAAAAAGTTTCTAGTCTATCAAACGCAATAAGTGTTACTCACGCCAATATACATACGCCGTTTGCATATCGTTGAAGCTTCTGAACAACGCAATAATAGAAATTACCACCAACGTTATCGCTCGCTACCCTGTTTGTATTTATTATTGCATAAGAAATAAAATGAAATGATTAATTATATTGTACGCTTATTAAATTGGTTATTTTAATTTTAAAAATTAAATTCGATGTCATATGAAATCATTTTTAGAAAGGAACGCAAACAGATGGCACATTCTTACCGTTTTTATCAGTAGCCTCGATCTTTGCCTTCCTCTTTAGGAGAACTTCAATACATTTGGGATAACCTTTTGCTGCGGCCGAATGGAGACCTGCATGAAATAATTTGATAAGTGGCCAATTTATTATTCAAATTTTCAATCGATTGAATGATTGATTGATGGAATAACTCGATTTGTTTGTTTGATTAATTGTTCGTTAGTTCGGTTTTTGTTTAATACTTTTTAACTATTAATTTATTTAATTTATTTGTTCAAATATTCATTATATTGTTTCACAAGAGTTAAAAGAGTTAAACAGACTTGTCAGTCCATCTTGGTCAGTTGATTCGATGTTGGCTCCAGCGTCCAACAATATTTCACAAATCTTATCCCTCCCTGTTGTGTCAGTAATGGAAAGCGTTTACAGAAATAATTTAGCTATTATTAATGATGCAATGTTTATATGCAAACCATACTACGGAATTATCGTAAAATTTTATTAGCTTAATAATTTCTATGGCGGTGGCTAAAAACGTGGTAAAAAAACGTTCCATGGTGTTGAACAACGGATATTGTTGATAATAATTCATGTTTGAATTTTTTGTTGACTCTATGGTCTTCAAAAAATAGTTGTGAATTTTGTAAAATTTAATGTTTATAACAAGGGTAAGCCAACTTTTTGCTGTGAAAGCCGCATTGAAAACCATTTTACCTTCGAAGGGCCGCATATGTACTTAAATAGCAAATTTTTTCGACCCGGGGAGAATTTTTTAAGATTTGTGGCTTCTTTTTTTAGTTATAATGTCTGGCTGACGACCTTTTATGGCGAACAAGGCCCCGCGGGCCGCATAAAATAGCTTCTCGAGCCGTAGTTTGCTTACTCCTTGTTTATAAGACTGATTTGAAAAACGGTAAATTAGCATGTTTGGACCATGAACTCTATAAAAAAAACAGTTACTTCTCTGGTAATTATAAATAAAAAAAAATAAGGAAAGTTTTAGTAGAAATATTTTTACATAGTCGTGATAATATCTGTGTTAAGAACTGTTCTTTTTACAATAATGCTCCTATAATTAGTTTGAAAATGGCAGTATAGTTGAACAATCTTTGGAATTTACAAGCAATATAATATTTCTTAATATTGGGACCTAGAAAAAGCTATCTTGTGACAGAAACTATGATAACATTTGACTAATATTTATTGTTTTACAGTTTTGTTGAACAGCCTGTCTGATAAGAAATTATTTACGAGACAACCATAACTTGTGGTTTTTTTTCATTAATATTTGCATGTAAATCATAAATATTTTGAAGAGCATGTTACAAGCATGTAGAGTGAAGAACGCACCTAATAAGTGGCACAAGTAATTTATGGCGGCCATCACTTAAAAGCTGTTTTTGGCTATTTTCGGTGTTGTTTCAGCGCTACATAAATTATTATTATTGTAATTTCTACTATCGTGTTTAAGTGACTTAACGACATAATTCGTATTGTTTGTTTTTAGCCAAAAATACAGATATTCACAACATTAAATGCTCTAATAAAAAGTTAGATTTGATTGCCTGAAAATTTTTAGATCGAAGTTTTTTATGGATTTATTCTACTTTTCAATGTTATGCACGTTAATCACACATAAAATTATTCAATGTATTTTCCGTTACCATCGTTGTAAAAAAATGCATGTAGCCAGAGTTTAGAATAACTGACTAATCAATAAAAACGATGCATTTAAAACCCAAACTCATCGATCACCAGTCTACAGTTATTTACGTAATTTCGTGCGTTACCATGGAGACGACGAATTTGATTTGTTTCTCTCTTAATATCCATGTTCACTTATGTATTTGTAATGTTTGCATGCATTTGAGGAAGTTAAGAGGATTGTTCAGGTAATGTCATACTTTTTGTATGTGTCTCTCTGTCTGTATGTTATTGTTCACTTATCTGTTTGTTTGTTTGAGTTGATGTATATTTGTCTTTTTTTCTACTCGTTTGAAGATTTGCGTGTATGTTTCCGTCTGTATGTCTGTCTTTTTATGTAGGCATTTTCATCAAAACTCAAATTCTTTAGCAGCTGGAATAAATACAACTTAATAAACTATCCGTACTGGAGCCGTATGCACATAAGTTTCGTTATTAAAGGCGTTTTAATCATTTAATATATTTTGTAATCATCAACAAACGATGCATCAAAAGCAGCTGTGCAGCGCACACACATTGAATGAACGTTTTATTGAAACATGATGATGAACATGATGATGAACATGATGATGAACATGATGATGAATACGATGATGAACATGATGATGAACATGATGATGAACGTGATGATGAACACGATGTTAGGAGCGCTCGTACATCTGTTCCTACTTGTTCCAGCAGAAAATTCATAACAAAAGTTAATTAACGATTGCTGATGACACTGTTGTTATGGAAATTAATTAATACTCGCATCCAATATATTTATCATTTTTGCCATTTTTATTTTTCTACCCATTTTTCAATTTAATGTAGATTTTTATTTAATTAAGCTCAATTCAAGTTTAAAAATTTATAATTTTATTTACTGCAGTAGTGGTGGTAGAAATGGTAGTAGTAGTGGTGGTGGTAGAAGTAGTAGTAGTACTAGTACTAGTAGTAGTAGTAGTAGTAGTAGTTGTTGTTGTTGTTGTAGTAGTTGTAGTAGTAGTAGTAGTAGGTAGTAGTAGAGTATAAAATTTCAGATAAAATAGTAAACTAAATGAATGCATGCATGATTGCAGTTCTAGTTATGAAAAATTGTCTATTGCTTCAAATCCAAAGGTTTTGTATCACCTCTGTTTCAATAACATTACCTATTTGAATTCTAATTTTGAAAATGATTTCAAAAATTCATAAATTTTAAAATTAATGGGAAAAACACAAAAAATATCTAGATGACGAAAGTGATTGAATTAAATAAATAAATTCACGAATAAAAACCCATTAGAGACATGCTCCACCAGCATTAACTAAACTTCAAAAAAGTAAACTTTAAATAAACTAATTAATTAATTAGCGAACGCAGTAATTAAAACAGAATGAAATTAGCAGTTGAGTTATAAAATCGTACTTGTTTATATACCATATCTCTTACATACGAATATATATATGTATATATATATATTATTATTATATTATATGATCATTTATATAGCGCCTATTAAAAACATTCTCATAGGCGCTTTACAACTATGGCAATTTTCTACAAGGAAAAAAGATATGTCTTCAATTGACTCTTGAACTGGGGAAGTGTCAGACCAGACCGGCGCAAAAAATATGGAAGTTCATTCCAATGCCTTGGTCCATAAACTGCAAAACTACGTGATACAATCTTTAGTTTAGTAACCGGGACCACTAACAAGTTTCCTCGATCTGATCGTAGGCCAGTTTTTAAAGAAATCGATGATCTGTCAATCAACATTTCGGACAGATATTACGGAGCCAATCAGTTTAAGCATCTATAAACCAAAAAAAGATTTTAAAAACAATTCTTTTGCTGACCGGCAACCAATGCAATTCCGACAGAATTGGGCTAATATGTTCAACACGACTAGCACCAACAACAATTCTTGCAGCTCTATTCTGAACCGTCTGCAACTTAGCAATCTCATGTTTCGAAGCACCATAAAACAAACTATTACAATAGTCCAATCTAGAATGTATAAACGAATGAATCAGAGTAACCATGGTTGATCTGTTCAAACTCTTTTAAATTCGATACAATTGCCGCAATTGAAATGAACAAGATTTTACCAAAACCTTTATATGTTCACCCATACATAGATTTTTATCTATTTTAAAACCCAAAACTGTAACCATTTTTCCAAAATCAATAATCATGTCACTTATTTCACAAAATATATATATATAAATCATATATATATATATATATATATATATATATATATATGATTTGTATATTTTATATATACAAATCATAAATATATACAAATCATATATATATATATATATAGAGAGAGAGAGAGAGAGAGAGAGAGAGATGCAGAAAGAGTGGGAGAGAAAATGTGACTACATTTGATATTTGATTATTTTTTATTGTTGGTTATATTGAATTTAAATAATTTTTTATTTGCAACTGTTCGATAAACTAATATTTACTGTTATTAAATTTTTATGTATGATTATAATTGATTATAATTTCAAGTGGAAACTTGAAAATTGAAAAAAATTACTAATTTGTCGAAAATAAATTTAAAACTGTTTGGTTGAAAAATTTATAAATGAAAAATTTGGGAAATGTTTGCTGTTTTAACGGCCGAACCATGACACGCTTCACGCGCAAAATATTCAACTAGCTGTCTTTATTTTTGGAGTGAAACATATAAAGTATGTGAAATTGTATCATTAATATTGGAAACGTTGATAACTAACTATTTTTTCTATTTACTATAGATTTTTATTAAAGCTTATTAAAGATTTGAGCTTTCGTAAAGCGTTTTTTGTTTAGTTTGTGAACCTATAATAACAAAATGATTTTATTTCAATCTATAATAATGCTTAAACAATAAAATTCCAATCGTCACCAACATTACTTTTCGACGTGACACCACCGCATTAATTACATTAATTAATTAATGACCTGCTGACCTGAACTTGCAGCCCAGAGCAGAGGAGTTCTCTTATCCTCGTCCATCGCATCGACCTTCACCTTCTTCGCCAGCAGCATCTTCACCATTTTCTGGCTCTGCTCCCGACTGACATCATCACTTCCGTGTACGGCGTAGTGCAGTGGCGTGGCTCCGTTCTTGTCGCATGTCGACAGCTCCACGCCGTTGTCGTGTAGGTACTCGAGAACTTCTGCGTGGCCACACACTGGCTCAATGTTTTTCGTTACGTTGTAATCATTGACTCCATTTTTTAATATTTAACTCACTTGATTATTTGAATAGGTCAGTATAAAACAATAAATGCGTTACAATTGTTTTTCATTTATTTATTAGCGTAAAAATTATAATATTGTTTTAAAATACGATCTTAATATACCCAAACATAATTAAAAAACACATGGCATCAATTTCAGAGCCGTAGAATCAAATTTTCTGCAAACATTGAAACTAAAAAAAATGGGAAAAACAAACCAGCCGTCCAGTGTGCAGCCGTGTGACCTTCGTTGTCGCATGTTTTCACGTTGGTGCCTCTTTCCTTCAAGAACTTCACCATCTTCAAATTTCCCGCCACTGACGCGAGGAGGAACGGTGTGAATCCACTGGCATCTTTCATGTTGAGACAAGATGAATCATTATCCAAGACAGCGTCAGCAACCAACGTATCTTTGTTGGATGCACAGAAGTGGAGGGCTGTCTTGCCTGTCTCTTTATCCTTCTCTATCACCGAAGTCTTCATTAGATGAAGTAGTTTTTTAACAAATATTCATTTACATTTTCAGATAATTTGTTTTGAAAAATTATTAAAACCAAAATTTTTGTCTTCCTATACAATATAAGTCTTTCTTATTTGAGCTTATTTTGAGTGTTGGCCGGTGGTAGCACGCTTGATGTTAACAAAATCAATGTTGAGCACGTCTGTATTAAACAAGTTGTCTAGCAACTCGTCGATCAACTCGTGTTTTAAAATTGAAAAACTAAACGTCAGCATAGCTTCCAAGCAAACAGTAATAAATGACTTACTTTGTATTTGTGGATAAGAGTTTTAACATTTTCTAAATTTTCCTTTTGACATGAAGAGTGCAACATTTTGACGCGTTTGGCCTCATCTTCATAATCAGGTATTCCATTGCCATCTTTGTCTTTCAGCATATCTTTGTCGTGTTTGGTGTCTTTGACTGCGTCATGTGACTTTCCGCCGTCGTGTTTTGAATGTTTTTTGTCGTCATCCTCGTCGTGTTCGTTATTATGTGGTCTGTGTTTCTGGGGGTCCGTTCCTGTTGTCGATGTTTTGGTTTGAGCTTTTGCGTTGTTGCTGTTGTTGGCGTTGTTGTCGTTTGCTGGTTTTTGTTGATTTTTTGGTTGTTTTCTCTTACCCAGGCCCGAGCCCATTATGACAAAATTATTTATTTATTTTTGTATTTTATTTTAGTAATAAATTTTATTTTAATGAGTAATTTTTTTGGATCGTACAGATTAATCTAACATTTGTTAATCAACAATTTTTTAATAAAAATGAAATGCGTTTTGCAACGTTGTTACATTGTTTATTTCAAAGCTGCTTGTGTCAGTGCTCCGTCGAAATTCAGTTTTAAACCTGGAAAAATTCCTGTTTACACCCGGTTGTCATGGCGAGAAACTATAGTAATGCTTCGATAAACAAAAACACGCCGATTTTTTTCTTCTTGTTGTTTTACCGGTATCGTTGTTAATTGTTTTCATGTTGTTGACATTGATGTTTTATATTGTTGTTGACGTAACTGTTCATTTTATTGTCTCTACGTTGTGTCGGTCGGAGCAAATAATGTTTTTGCTTTAGTTTACATAGACTTAGAGTTAGCTTTTGCCAAGCCCATGTTTTTGAAGGCTTAACATTTTCTTCATAATTGCTTTTTTATTTTCACCGCTATAACACCTTCCAAGTTCATTTTTAAGACCCGGTCTACCGCGTTTAACTGCACTTACTATTTTTGATGCTTCAACAATTTTAGGGC